CACCCGGCCTCCCCCCAGCGGGCCCCCTGGAGTGCAGAGGCCACCTGCCTATTCTCTCCCTCAGTCATCTCATGTAAAGGCCAGCCTTTCTCAGAGAGAATTATAATTTCGTCCATAGGTATAGGACAAGGACAGTTGGAACCCAAATACCCAGCGTGTGGATGCAGAAGTGCTCAGTGGAGAAGAGGTTGTGTGAGGAGGGATTTCCCAGGGCCCCCTCTCCAGGCCCTCAGTCTCCCCACCATCTCCAGGGACACACACACCGCTATGCAGCTACCTGTCCTGTCTCAGCCTGTCTTGTCTCAGCCCGTCCTGCCTTTGTGTGTGCCTCACACACCCTTCTTTTAACAGTCCCTGCCCTCCACAGACCTGGGGCCCTGTGTCCCTGGATCCCCTCACAGCTCTCACTGCGAGGTGACTTTGCCAAGTGCTCCCTCAGTTCCACCTCTTAAAATAGGTATTCCCTGAGCAGCTGATCCAATTGAAGCACTCCGCCTGTGCCCTCCTCTTAGCCTTCATCTGGCCAGGATGGAGTGACCCTGCCCACGGATGGAGTGTCAACACCTTAATCCCCACCCCTCAAAGCCTGCAAGGCCCCAGGTGGGGAGACAGAAGGGGAGTGTGGTGAGCTTTTCACACAAAGGCACGTGGATACACCCTGCTATGTCCCTGGCCACACAGTGGGAAAGTCTGACCAACCCGGCATGAAAACAGCTTAAATACAATTCTCCAGAAGAGACGTTCTGTGTGTGGGCTATCTGTGTCCTCTGTCAATCTCCTAGTGACCAGTGTTTCTATATAAGTAATATTCAAAAAGTATTTACTTAGAGTTAGTATGGGTTCCCTGCCTGGTGCGGTTAAGAATTTGACCGCTAAGTGAAAGGTTGATTTTGATGGGTTAAACTGAGAGGCATCTCAGAAGACAGACCTGGCAATTCTGTTGCCCAAAGGTCATGACCTGGAAAACTCAATGGGGTGAAGTTCTGTTCTGTATGTACTGGGTTGATGGCAACCAACAACCTATTAAACAAATAAGCAGTGGGCAATATTTATTTCTATTTTTATAACTAGGACCAGCTGAAACAAATCATAAGAATGTATTTTATTTAGCCACATATATTCAAGGAAGCTCTGGTGGCTTCTTGTAGTTATGTGTCCTTGAGTCGCCTGCAATTCAAAGCAACCCTACGTACAGCAGCTCTGAACCCTGCTCTATCTTGAGCCAATCTCTTTGTCTCTGATGTGCCTACCCCCATTACCCCAGACACAGAGTCAATCCATCTCATCCAGGGTCTTCCTCTCTTGCACTGTCCCTCCACCCTTCCAAGCATGATGTCCGCCTGGTAGCTTAATAGTAAGGAACTGCACTGCTATCTCACAGGCAGGTGGTTCTAATCCACCAGCTGCTCTACGAAAGATGAGCAGTCTCTTCCCATGCAGTTTACTGCCTCTAAAACCCACTGGAGGGTCATTTCAAATTTGACACAGGACAACAAAATATTATTCTCAGTATGGAATCAATATTAAAAACTATTAAGATTTTAATAATGAGTGCCTCCATATTTACACATGAAGGCTGAATCCAGGGTGAGTTTTGCAGAGGTCTGTACCGGTCAAGGAGGAACACATGACTAATGGCTATCGTAGTGGATGCTGTAAGTGAGGAAAGAGGACCACTGACCTTTCTGTGATGATGCTGGGGTTCACGGTGACCACGTCTGTCTTTACCCCTACATCCATGGTGTATTTCTCCGAGATGGGGGGCAGATTGCATCTGTGCAAAAAAGACAGGGGAGCCCAATAGTAGTAGGTGATCAGTCAGTCTGAAGGTGGTGCAGGAGGGTGGGCGAGAGCAACGGGAAGGAAGGAAGGACGGGGGTCACAGGGCTGCACAGGTGGCCACCTGGGCAGAATGTCTGTGGCAGCGTGATTAGTGGTGTTTCTGCTCCATGCAAGGCACTGGGAGGATCAACAGACTCCAGCCCTGGTCTTGATCAAGTTCTAGTCACACAGGGCAGGGAGACTACCATCTATCATGTGTAGCTACAAATTGCAGTGCATGCTCTTGTGGATGGTATCTGCCCTGAAAGGGCAGAGGGACCACTTCTTGTCTAGGAGTCAAGAGGTTCCCTGAGGAAGTGACACTCGAGCTGAGTTCTGAAAGTGGAAGTAAGCAAAAGTCCATTGGCAGTCCAGGAACCACTGCTTCCTCCACCTGGAGACCAGAGCTAGATGGTGCCAGCTACCATCACTCAACATTCTGGTCAGGAACCTAAACATACATCCTGATCAAAAGGGAGAAAATATGGAACAAAACTTCAAATTCTTAAAGAATCCATACTTACTGGGTCTATTATTAAGGGTGGAGGAGTCCCCAGGACACTTGACCAGACTCAAACTGAGACTATGTCCTGAAGCCAATGTCAAATTCACATTTTAATGCAGAGAGGAACATTGTTATCCTTGAATACTGTATTTAAGCAGGATATATACTCACAGCAACTCTTAGTACCCTATGTACAACAGCTCTGAAGCCTGCCCTGTCCTTAGCCAAGCAATCATACTGACTCCAACACCTCTAATCCCACTGCCCCAGTTACTGTATCAATCCATCTCATCCAAGGTCTTCCTCTCCTGTGCTGTCCCTCCATCCTTCCAAGAATGAGGTCCTTCTCCAAGAACCAGTCCCTCCTGGATACATGCCCAAGGAATGTGAGGCAGAGCTTCAAAATCCTAGCCTCCAAGGAGAAACCTGGTTTCACCCTCTCCAAGACAGATCTATTTGTTTTCTTGGCAGTCCATGGTATGTTCAAGACTCTTCTCCAGCACCACAACGCATATATTTTCACCAAAAATAAAATATATTTTCTAAAAACTCTATTGGCAAGAGAAGAGCTAAATAAATACAGAATCTATTTAAGGACAAATCTTTAGAAATGTAAAATTGCATGAAAAAAATAAGTTATGCAAGTATATACATACATAACACTATTTCAAAGCTCCTATGATAGAATAATGCCTCCCTCCTCTCAAGACATCCACATCCTTATCTCCAGAACCTTTTACAGCTGTGATTAAAGTTCTTGAGATAAGGGATTATCCTGGATAACTGAGTGAGCACACTATAACCACAGGTCCTTGTAAGAAAAGGTGACGCAGCAATAGGAGAGAGAGGAAAAGATACAATAAAAACAAGAACAGATTTAGAGAAACTAGAATATGATAAGCTGCTTAACTAGGTAAATGTGGAGACCATGAGCACCTGTGCAAAGGCCCTGTGGTGAGAGAGGACAAGGAGTGACTGAAGCCACTGTCTGCAGTAACTAAGTTACTGAAGCCACTGACTATAGTGTAAATCAAAGTGTGGGTGGCTCAGGCTGTGGTTAAAGAGGGAATAAATGGTCAGACCACAGGGGCCTTATTGCCGTGTTAAGACTCTGGTCCTTCATTGAAAAGGAAGCTATGGGTTTACCAGAGCTCTACTTTCAGAAGGAACCCTGGTGGTATGGTGCATAATAACCAAAAGGTTGAAGGTTCGAGTCCACCTGTTGCTCCATGGGAGAAGGATGGGAAGTCTCCTTCCATAAAGATTTACTGCCTCAGAAATCCAGTGGAGGATGATTGAGTTAAAATTTACTCTATGGCAAAGGGACAATGGCTCCATTTCTAATAAAGTCTGGACCATAACTGTCTCATTACCCATCTCTCAGACCATCAGGGAAGGTAGGATTTATAGTCCTCCTAAAGATAGGGGTGTCTGCAGCCAACTATCATGTATTGAACACCTATGATGTGCCAGAAACTTTCATAAGATTAAACATAACTTTGACAACCTCTGTTCTTATTTTCTCTGGATGTCCAGTTACATTCTGCTCTAACAATCCCACATAACTGCATAGGATTTTTTTAGGCTGTAATTATTAGGATTTCCAGATTCACCAGGTCTTTGTCCCTCGGAGCCACTGGGTAGATTCAAATGCTCAACCTTTTGGTTAGCAGCCAAGTCCTTAACCACTACATGGCCAACTACCCTGTGGGGTTTTCCTAAACTGGAATATTTCCAGAACAGATTGCCATGTCTCTTTTTCCCCAGAGAGCTGGTAGGTTCTCATCACTGATTCTTTGGTTAGCACTCAACCATTACTCAACAACCACTTTAGGTGACAGATATTAAGATCTGGGGGTTGCAAATGAGAGATTATATGCTCAGAGAAGTCAAGGGACTCTGTGCTGTTAAGTGGCAGAAGCAGACAGAGGACAGGACTGTTTGACTCCTAAGTCAGTGCCCTTTATTGATACAACACTGTCCAATATGATGACCCTTGACCATGGTGAAAACCTAACAAATGGTGTGCACTTGGCAAGCAATCAATGAGGCTTCGCTGCTGCTGCTGCTGTCGATGGCAGTGCTTCTAAAGAAAGGACCCATGCCATCTCCAAAACTCTGTGCACAAAACTATAGAACAAAATACAACATCACACTGGAGAAGGACATCATGCTTGGAAAGGTGGAGAGGAAGACTTTCAATGAGATGAACTGACACAGTGCCTGCAGCAATGGACTCAAGTGTATCCAAGTTGAGGAGGACGGCACAGGATAGCTAGGACCGGTTTCAGATCTGTTGTTCTGAGGGTCCCTATGAGTTGTACTCAACTCAACGGCACCTAACAACAAACTGTTGCTATCCACTCAGTTTGACTCACAGAGATCCAGCAGGATGGAGTGGAACTGCCTATTGGATTTCCAAAGTTCTAACTCTTTATGGAAGCAGACTGCCTCGCTCAACGTTCTCCCTCAGTGCAGCTGGTAGACTCAAACTACTGACCTTTCACTTAGCAGCCCACTGTACAAAGGAGGCCTGGTGGTGCAATAATTAAGAGTCCAGCTGGTAAGTGAAAGGTTGGCAGTTCAAATCCACTCACTGGCTCTGCAGGAGAAAAGACCTAGGACTCTGCTGTCACAAACACGACAGCCTCCAGGGCAGTTCTGCTCTGTTACATAAGGTCACTGTGAGAGGGAAATTAACCTGATGTCACCCAACAACGCCCTTATTTAACTTTTGCATTTAATCCTCATACTAGTAGCCAGGAAATGAAAAGACGTATTGCGATGAGAAAGTCTGCTGTTAGGGACCTCTCTAAAGTACTGAAGAGCAATGAAGTCACTCTGGAGGCCAAGGTGTACCTGCTACAGGCCATGGTCTTTGCAATTAAGTGCTATGTGTCAGAGAGCAGGACAATGATTAGGGAGGATAGAAGGAGTACTGATGCCTTTGAGTTGTGGTGTTGGAGAGGAATAATGAATAAACCATGGACTGCTAAGCAAACGAACAGATTCATCCTAGAGAGGGTAAAGCCAGGCTGCTTCTTGGAGTCAAGGATGGAGTCAAGGATTCTGAAGCTTCGTCTAACATACTTTGGACATGTTGCAAGGAGGGACCAGTCCTTAGAGAGGGACATCATGCTTGGTAGGGTGGAGGGACAGCACAGGAAAGGAAGACCCTCTATGAAGTGGACTGATTCAGTGACTGGGGTAATAGGGGTGGATGTGTCAGAGACAGTGAGATTGGCACAGGACAGAGCAGGGTTTAGGGCTGTTGTACATAGGGTCACTATGAGTTGCAAACGACTCGATGGCACATAACAACAACAATACTGTCATCACTGTCATCTCGAATTTCAGGAAACAGAGGGACAGATGTTTGGGTGATTTACCTAGATAGTAGGGAGGAGGAGGGAGCACAGAGTAGAACTGGACGGTGCAGGCCCGGGGCAACCCTCTTACCGGAAGACGAAGTCAGCGCTGTTGATCTCCCTGCCACAGCGGCTGTTCTTGAGGATGCCTCCGTTGCCCACCACGGCACACTTCTTAAACTGGGACCGGTAGTAAGGCATGTCCTGGGGGAGACGGAGCAGGCACGCTGTCAGCCCTGCCCCCGCCTCCATCTGCTGCTCACTGCCCTTGACCATGACCGTGTGCCCCTCTCATCCTGGTGCATGGCCTGCACAGGCCGGCCTGAGAGGGAGTACAGAGCCAAAATGTTCTTTCCCAGAGGAGCTGAGCGGTCAAGGACTGGTCAGGAAGTCAAGCAATGAGCAAATGAGCTGGAATTGGAGCCCAGATCTCCATGGCTTCTCTAGAGAAGGCCTGAAAGGCCTCAGGTTTTCCAGAGAGAAGAGAGGACATGGTAGTGGCCACCCCCACTTGGCCTTGAACTTCCCAGGATTTGGAGAGCTCAGCCCTCATACTCCTGCAGCATCACATAGACTTGCTCCCCGGAGCATCACACTTATTTTATGTTTTTAACGGGTTTGTTTACCATCATTCGCATACATTGTTGTAGACAATCATTCATATAATTCATATAATTTACCTAATCAATTACTGTTTCTCTCCGCCTGTTATCACCCCTTCCCTTCAAGTCCTTATGGAATCATTCCTATTCCTGCACCCCCTCCTCTGTCCACTAACTTCTGCTATTCTAATGACTCTCCCCTTCCCCTTCTGCCCTCTCTCTCTTCTCCCCTGGAGCATGTATTTGTAATGGTTAATGCAGCTGTCCCGGGTGGGGGGCTGGTAACAGCAGAGACTGCCCTGGGTCAAGGACCCTAAACCTGCATCTCATCTCTTTCAGTTCAGGATGAGGGGCAGACCTTTTCTCTGTTCCACAGGGTTGGCCGAGGCCCAGGGCAGAACAGTCACACGCACTGGCACAGATGCTGCCGCTTGGCAGAAGCCAAGGGCAAGCGACCAGGGAGTGAGCAAGCCAAAGCTCCCACATTTGAGGGGTGTGGTGAGAAGCCAGGACACCTGCGGTCTACCAAGGGGGAGCTCAGGTTTTAAGTAGCAGTGGTGTGTGCCAGAGCCCTGAGAGTGACCCCCACGTTGTCCCCTGGTCTCTACACGTCACAGCTGGCAGGGTAACCCTGGCTTAGCACTAGACGTCCTCTGCGCTCCATGTAAGTTGCCAGGAGAGAGAAAGTACCAGGCTGAGCATTAGAAGAGTTGGTCCTGCCATGTCCCCTCTCTAGACCACAGTCCCTCCTAGGCAGCCTAACGCTGGTGGAGTGAAGCACCCAGAGGTTCAGGGAAGAGCACAGGTATGGAGTCACGATAGGGGTGAACAAGCATCCTGGTCTGCCAGACTGAGGGGACTCCCAGGATTCAGAACTTTGACTGCTAACGAGCAAAGCCCTGGGCTTGTGGAGATAAGCTTAGCTTCCTCATCAAAAGACTCAAGTTTAACCCTGCATTTGCCCCACACCAAGTTGAGGGAACCATGGACAAGTCATTTGAGACTCAGTTTTCCCCTCTGTGAAATGAGGGTAATAATGCGTGTGTCTCATGCTACTCTAATGAGATTGGAGAGAACAGAGTTTTCTTTTTTTTAATTTTTTTATTATTATTTTAAATTTTATTAGTTTTAATGAACATTTACAGAGATTTTGGGTTTTCATTCATTCATTGTTGCACTGTGAGAACAGAGTTTCTTAAGCTCAGCACTATTGACATGTCCACTTTCACCCACTGATGTCAAGTCAGAACCGACTCATAGTGGGTTTTCAGAGGTTGTAAATGGCACAGGAAAAGATTATCCATCTTTCTTCCAATGAGAAGTTGGTGGATTTGAACCTCCAGCCTTTACGTTAGCAACACAACTCTCCCTACTGGGCCATCAGAGCTCCCTACTGACAGGACAGATACTTCTTTACTAGAGGTCCGTGCAGGGTAGATGTATAAGCACATCCCTGGCCTCTACCATCTAAGTGGAAATAGCTCTCCTCCCAGATCACGGGGATCGAAGCTTTCTGCGGACATTGCTAGAAGTCCCCAGGGGTACAACTGCGCCCAGCTGGGAACCTCGCTGTTAAAGAAGGGCCCACACCCTATGCAGTGCTTGGCCCAGATTCAACATAGCAGAAGGAACCAGGCAGATATTATTAGAAGCCCCTAAGGTCCCTTCCAGTCTGACACCTGGTAGCCTGCCACACAGCTTTCCTCCTGCCTGTCCCAGCTGGCCCACCACTTTCTGTGAGTGCACCAGCCAGCACTCTGAATCTCCAGAGACCAGCCACCAGCACAGGGCCCCACGGTGAATCACTGAGCTCACCACTAACGCTGCTAAATGCAACGGAGATGCTGTGTCTCCTGTGTCTTTCTTCAATTCCCTGGAGGGACTGGCTCAGAGGCCCAGACAGGGAACAAGAGCATCGAACAAGGGCTGGTGGAGAAGCTGCATTTCTTTTACTTTGAGGAAGAGGAAAACACCAAAGTCCTCTTAGGAGAATCATCAAAGGCTTATTAAATGCTAGTGTGCATTTCCCAAACTTCAGTAAGTCAAGAACTGCTGGAGATACTTTCTAAGAAAGCAAATTCTGGGCTTTATCAGTATCTCCATCAGGGAAATAGAAAGCTGGGATGCTGTAATTTTTTTTTTCTACAAACTCAAACACTTCTCCTTAGGGATGTTTAGGAAATGTTATTCTCATGGTTTTAATTATGTCTCTCAAAAATGGTTATGTGTAATGATCTAACATGGACTTTAGATATTGACCTCCAGGATCTGATGAATCAAATAATTGCAAGAGGGTTATGAGTTGAATGGACACAGCCCTGTTCAGATGTAAGGGGCGCCTCCCTCAATGGTGGCTTATGACAATTTTTCTCTCTCTAGAGATAATAGTGGGAACTCTGGCAGCCTACGAAAAGAAAATGCACCACAATCCCAGAGGCACATAGTTCAAGTCCACCAGTTGCTCCATGGGAAAACGATGGGCAGTCTCCTCCCACAGGACTTAATGCTTCTGACAACCCACTGAAGAGTTAGTTCTGATTCTACGGCACACACAACAACAGCAACTGGTATGAATGAGTGGGTCCTGAGTGGATAGTTGTCGTTGTTGTGTACCATTGAGTCTGTACATAGCAACAAGAGATAAACGGGAGGAAATTGAGGGGGTAGGGGGAGATACTCGCACCACCGAGGAGGAATTGCCAGGAGTGGAGTGTATCTTTCGTCTTGGATTCAAGGCTCCAGGTGGGGAAGCTCCTTGACCCCAGGGAAGCCCAGGACACAAGGAGTTCTCTACAGAACACCCGACCTACAGCTGCTGAAGCAAATGAGACTTTCCTCCACAAATGACAGAGAGGGCAGGCCAACACCATGAACTTGGACTTGTAGCTTCCTAAACTACAAGAGAATAAATTCTTGCCTCTAGGCCACCAGAGCTCCCCAAACGACAAGAGAATAATTTGTTTGTCAGAGCCATCTGCTTGTGGTGTCTCTGACAGAGCAACACTCAGTAACTAAGATGCAGGCCAAAGCCAAAAAACCAAGCCCACTGCTGTCAAGGTGACTCCGCGTCATGTCAACGCTACAGAACAGAGTGGAAACTGCCCCCTAGGATCTCCAAGGCTGCAGTTTATATGGAAGCCGACTGTCACATCTCTCTCCCATGAAGCGCAGATGGATTCCAACCACCAACCTTATGATCAGCAGTCAAGCACTTTAACCGTTGAGCCAAGTGAACTCCTATATAATGCAATGCATACAGCACCGGGGCTATGAGCCAAATCTGTCCCATCACCTATTTTTGTGTGGCCTGCGAGTTTAGAATAGGTTTTATATTTTTAAGAGTGATAAAAAAACCCTCAATATTTCATGACATTTGGAAATTACATAAAATTCAAATTTCCGTGTTTAATAAAAGCTAAACTTTCACTGGGACTCAGCCACATCCATTTGTTTATATAACATCCATGGCTGCCTTTATGATAAAATGGTACAGTAGCTGCCACACAGGCAATATGGCTTGCAATGCTTAAAATGTTATCTGGCCCATTGCAGAAAGAAGTTAGTGACCTTCGCTCTAATTCACTAGGCTCAGAGAATCCGTACCTGGTTCCTCCTTGGACTCCTTGATTGTATGACCCAGTCTATTTCACCCACTGGCATTGTTCACATGACATACAAGTTCACCACTGTCACCATCCTTCTGTTTCAGGCCTTGTAAGACCCGGATGTGTAGAGTTACACAGCTTCCTTCAACACTGATGATGTCGGGAAACACATTCACCATCTCTCACCTTCGGCACCTCCTCCACTTGCCTAAGTCTACCCTCTGCATCCAGAGATGCACTAAGCCACACAGGGCTTTGCTTTGGGAACCTCTGTCCAGGGAGCCTGGGCAGCCATGACCTCCAATTTCATCCAGAACGACTCTGCTCCTTACTTCTACGCACAAACTATCTCCATTTTACTCTGCTCTTGGAGAATTTCAGAAGGTGGCCATGAACACTTTCCACACAACCATCCTTCCTCTTCTTCAGAGGCTATGCTGCCACTTCTCATATCCAGGACACCATCAAGACCAGCTGAAAATACAAGTTCCAGTGTCTGTGACCTTGAGAAGCTGACCCAGCTGTCCTGGGCTAAGGTGAACTCAGAAGTGAGAACAGGCATTTGAAATTCTGTCATCTGAGCAGTTCCCACAGGTCCACTCTGTCTGTGGTTTCTGATGAGCAGAGGGCCACCAGCTCCCCTGAACAGCCTCTAGACTTCTTTTAAAATAAGTAAAAGGAGAAAACCAACTTCTCCGTTGCTGAAGTCTTGTGACATTTGAGGCCAAACTAGTCCAACCCCAGTGTTACAGAGTCTGAGACCCTAAACACAGCAAGACCAGCCAAGGTCATGCAGGGTGACCGCCACCTCTCTGTGCCTGGGTTGAACTGGTGTACAATTTCTCCTGTACACAACGTTTTCCTCTGTACTTTGATTCTTGTTCTCAAGGTCAGATGCCCGAGACAAGAGGGCAGATGCTGCATCGTTCTCTCAGCCATCTGCTGGGCATCCTTGGCAATAAGGCAGCCATGAGAATTCTGTATCTGCTTTCTCACCAAAAGCTACTCCAGTAATAGCCAGTTGGCATTCAGTGTTTCAGGCAGCACCCCAAGGAAACCCAGACGGGAGGCTACCAGACCGAAAAAGGAACCAATAGGGGTACAGAGGACAAAGGGTAAGTAAGGGGTACTCACCACATTGCACTGCTCCACTGCCCCCACCCCAGGGCACCCCTCTCTCACTAAAGCCATGAAAACAGCAAGCACCTTGGGGAACATTCGGAAGATCTCCTGGTTGATGTGGTAACTGCCGCTGGTGTCCACTTCATATTTGAGTTTCGTGCCCAGGGGAGTGTTCTTCTGGGTGGTGAAGAGGAAGGCGGGGGCATTGCAGCACCTGGACAGGGTGGACCTGCCGGGCAGGGAGAGAGGAGGGAAAGATGGGTGATGCAGGGCAGGACAAAGCCACATGAAGGAGAGATGAGCTGAGGAGCCGTGGGGATCCCAGGGAGCTCTGACTGACACCAGACCTCTGCATGGTCCTCTCCCATCTTCCCTTCCCACACCCATTCCTTGTTCCATATCTTTGCTCCTGCTGTTCCCTGCCCCCTTCAGCACTCCTCCTCCCAGTGGGCTGTTCCACCCCTCCTGATGCTACCACCTCGCTGGCCTTGGTGCATGCAGGATCCTGGCCTGGTGTTCCATGAAGCTCCCATTTGCTTTCACTCCACTCACCCAGGGTGTGAAATAAGTAGAGTGCACACACCACACCTTCTTTGTCCCCCCAAGTCCCTCCCCAGATGGAGTGATGGAGTGAAAGCCCCCCTGTGAATGGGAGCCAGGGTTTCCATGTTCTGTACAATGCTAGGTTCAACACCCATGCTATTATCACACCTAGAGATGTGCAAAGCATCCGTCGTTGTTGTTGTTGTGTACCACTGAGTCAGAACTGACCCATAGCGGACTCCCCCGTGGGTTTTCAGAAGCAATAAATCACACAAGAGGAAACTGTCAATCTTTCTCCCACAGAGCAGCTAGTGGGTTTGAACTGCAATGACGGCTCAGTAGTAAGAATGGCACTGCCAATGGTTCCAATCCACCAGCTCCTCTGTGGAAGAAAGATGGGCAATCTACCCATGCAATTTATTGCCTCTGAAAACCCACTGCAGGGTCAGCTGTGGGTCACTCAGTAACTCACAAGAGTATCTCACACTTCCAGTGCATACTATTTTTGCTTCAATTATCCAGTGAATCATCTTCAATTAAAAAAAAATACCCACATTCTTTTTCTTCAAAAAATAAAAAAAGTGAATCCTCTTCAATCAAAAAGAAAACAACAGGCAAGTTCTGGTGGCCTACTGGCAAGAAGCTGCACTGCAATCCCAGAGGTGCACAGTTTGAATCCACCAGATGCTCTGCTGAAGAAGGAGGAACAATCTTCTCTTGTACCAGTCAGATCTGATTTGACGGTACACACATAAAAAAATAATAATAATAATAAATTTTTTTAAAAAGAAAAGAAAACAACAAACCACCACAATAAAACTGTTTTTGCTTCAATCATCCAGTTTTCACTGAAAAATCAGGAGAGCAGGGGGCTTTGTGTCCTTATGACAGGCTTCGTAATACAACGTGCACAACATCCGCAACAGGGCACCGAACTAAGACACACACAGTCAACAGAAGAGTCAGCTGTCCGAGCATTTTACAGCTGTTTCAGAGATGGAGGAGGACTGAGAGTTGGGACAGGGTGGGGGCTGGATGGACAGCGTCCGGCACAAAGGAGCCAGTGCTTCTAAAAGAAGTTGTTGTTGCTGGGTCCCTTCCGACTCACGATAACTCCAAGTGTGAGAGAGCAGAACTGTTTCGAAGGGTCTTCCTGGCCGTAATCTTCAGAGAAGCCAACCACCAGGCCTTTCTTCCATGGTACCACAAGGTGGATTTGAACTGCCAACCATCCTATGAATACCCAAGTACAAACCGTTTGAGCTACTCAGGATCTTCAAAAAGCACTTGCGAGTGTTGTAGATAGGTTGTTGTTTCTAATTCCCTGTAGTTTTCACTCACAAAACCCCACTCAAACATATGCTACAGACGTTAGAGCTCAAGATGCACGCAGGCTTTAAAAACAGCTCCGTGGGAAAATGTGGTCGATGAAGCGAGCCGGGGCGGGACTTTTCTCTGCAGCTGGAGCTCCACTCGGCACTCATTCTCTGAGGCATGCCCAGGAGGCTTGGTTATGAGGTCAGATCCTGGGAACATCTTGCTCTCCTGCTCTGGGAACCCCAAGTCTTTGTCCCAGCCAAGAGGACATGGTAGCACTGTCAGACCTGTGCTGACCCCCATAGTCCTCCTGCAGCATCCTTTCTCAATTGCTGTGTTATATCATTATCATGATGTGCTGGCCTGGACAGTACAAACTCTGTGCCTGTCTGTGACCTTGGCCATGCTAAGCGCCCCATCAACTTTATCCTCCATGCATATTAGCCTTACCTGCCCCCTAGTCCACACAGAAACATTCCCAAAGTGGAGGATTTGGGGTTCACTTGCATCAGTCTGGAACCTGCTCTCCACTGCTTCAGCACATCAGTCAAGTTCAAGTCTAATTTTATGACAGATGGGTCTCTGCATATTACAGCCGGGCCGTGGCTAGGTTTCCACAGCCTCACAGGTACCTCTGGTAGGGAGCTGTGGTGGCCTAGTGACAAGAAGCTGCTCTGTAATCCTGAAGACATGCAGTTCAAATCCACCAGCTGCTCCACAGGAAGGGGATGGCAATCTCCTCGCATGTGATTAACTGCCTCTGAAAACCCACTGGAGGGTCAGCTATGGGTCGGTTCCAATTCAATGGTACACAACAGTGGCCCAAAGATGATAAAGGAGGTTATCACTTTAGACAGTCTAGTTCTTAAAAATGTGCCTCTCCACCAGATGCTCTGCTGGAGAGGGAGGGGCAATCTCCTCCTGTACCAGTCAGATCCAATTTGACGGTTGTTGTTGTTGTTGTTATGTGCCGTTGAGTCACTTGCGACTCATAGCGACCCTATGCACAACAGCCCTAAACTCTGCTCTGTCCTGTGCCAATCGCACTGTCTCTGACACTCCCATCCTGATTATCCCAGTCACTGAATCAATCCACCCCATAGAGGGCCTTCCTCTCCTGCGCTGTCCCTCCACCCTCCCAAGCATGATGTCCTTCTCCAAGGACCGGTCTCTCCTCACAACATGTACACACACAAAAATAATAAATCTTTTCTAAAAAGTACTACTTGGTGAGCTCTGGTGGCCTAGTGGCAAGAAGCTGCACTGTAATCCTAGAAATACGCGGTTCGAATCCACCAGATGCTCTGCTGGAGAAGGAGGGACAATCTCCTCCTGTACCCGTCAGATCTGATTTGACAGTACACACACAAAAAATTAAAAAAAATTTTTTTTTAAAGTACTACTCTTTAATGGTGAGTTGGGTAACTTTATGTGAAGGATGTATCCCATGTCACTGAACTCTGCATGTAAAAATCTTGAGTGGATAGGTGTCTGGCAGTGTATATTAAAACCTAAACAAAATCAAAACAAAGCAAATGACTATTCTCCCTAGTGGTGGCCTGGGATTAAAGCAAAAGGGAACCAATGGTTTATGAAGATAATTCAAACTGCTTAGTGATGTTCACTTTCCATGACCACCCCCATGGACTCCTAAATGCTAACTGCACCTCAGTCTGTTCAAAGAAGGCGCAGAGCTGCCAAAATCCAGTTCACGAACAAATTTCCATGATTTCCTCTATTCCATGAAATAAGGTCTACACATTAAAACACTACTGGAAGCACACTGGAGAACAGATACAGGGTGAAGGCACAATGATAAAGTTCATGACTAATCAACGAGTTGTTGGACACTTGCTAGCTAGCTCTGAGTTGAGAGGATTCTGGGCTTGCCGCTGCCAGCTTTCGGTTAAGAGCCCGGATGTGTAACCTTCTGCAGGCCTGACCTGCTGGTACGAGCCATGTGAACTGTGAGCTCTGAGCCGGGGTGGGGCTGGCTGCATTAGAGACACTCTGAGTCGTAGCCTGGCTGCACGAAAGCCGCTGTCCCAAGTGGGGAGGCTTACTCTGGAGGACAGCTTACTGAAAACGCCACTGGGAGCCCTTGAGCAAACCACTTCTCTGCTACAAGCCTCCTTTAACCTCCACTGTGTACTGGGGTGACACCACCAAGCTTGCACAGATGCTCCAAAGGTCTAAGGGAGAGAATGGGGAGCCCAGAACCTGACCAGGTACCTACTTATCCCAGAAGGTTCAAGCAGAGCCTCCCACACCCCAGCTTCCAAAGCCCACCCCAGGACATCTCTGCTGGCCTCAGTGAGGAGGGGAGCTGCAGTGGGGAGAGAGGAGCACCACAGGCAGGACTGGTGGGGGAGGAGACTCAGATACTTGAACTGGTTGGCTTCGGAGATGTTCATTGCCCACTTGCACATCTGAAGGCTCTTCCACCTGTCGAACAGCTCCGACTGCTTCACCCTTTGGGAGTGGAAATGCAAGAGGAGAGGGCGTGAGAAGGCTGCACCCGACAGAATGCCATCATTGTCAACAACGTGTCCTTCCCACTAACCCAGACGCCAACGATCCTCCCCAGAAGCCCACCCCAAGGGTCTGCACGCTCCCCTGGAACAAAGGGAAGAAGACCTAGCAGATCTGTGAAAGATGTCTGTAAAACTTCAACACATAGTAGGACAGGTTTGGAAGCACTTCCTAAACATGCCTCCGGAAACTCTATGAACTGATAAATGTCAATATTTGTAGAGGGGCTTCAGGCCTTTTGTTCAGAGGGTCGCTATGAGTCGTGGTTAACTGGAAGACATCAACAACAATAACACATCCCTGGAGAAGCTCTGGTGGCATAATCCACAGGGAGTTGTGTTGCCAACCCAAAGACAGCCCCTCTCTAGCCCCGTGGGAGGAAGACGAGCAATCTCCTCCAAAAACCTGCTTGAGATTCGGCAATGCGTCAGTGCCAATTCAATGGCATATAGTTGAGTCTACATGGTCACGCTCTCAAATGCTCCCCATAAACAATCCGGATCAATGTCCCAAGAACTTCACTGCTACCAGACTTGTTCCCTGGACCTCCAATACTCAGTCACCCAGACCAAGGTCAGGTCTCAGACATGGAGCCTCAAACCCTGGCTCCACCACCACCCTGCAACTCGACCTCACCAGTCACTTAATCTCTCTGAGACTCAGCGGCTTTATCTGTAAGATGGCTATAATAACCACCGCCCTGCCAATCTCAAAGGGCGTCAGAGATCAAATGAAGCGATATGTGCAAAAATAGTTCACAAAATGCTTCGCAGAGACTATTTTATACGTGAATGGCTGACCCCCGGCTATCCTTCCCCCAAATGTCTTTCCTCCCAAGACACCACTAAAATCCAGAAAGGGATTTAAAAAAAAAAAGAGGCATAAAGATATACCAGATGAACAGAAAGACTGGGGAGAGAGTGGTCAGTGGAAAAGAAAGTTCAATATGCTCATGGAAAAAGAAGTGTGGGTAACACAGAGAGGGAACGGCATAGCTCCATGGACTGAGAGCCTGTCTAGCTGGAAAATGTGAGGCAGAGGGGACTTAGGCTGGGGAGAATCAAGCCTGAGTCCCTCTGATCTACACACGAGCAGCTGTATGCAGAACATTACTCAGCAGCAGTCAATCAAATATTTAATGTGCAGCATCAGGGGGAAGAGAATGGAAGCTGTTTGTTCCTCTCTTAAACAACAACAATAATAATAATCACATCCCAGGAAAACAGCTAGGAATTCCAGCAGCAAAAGAAACTACTCTCAAGCGACGCCCACATGATTGTGGGCTCTCAGTCACAAGGGGTTTGTTTTCTTTGTTTTTGAAAAATTAAATACTGAAGAGATAATCAAGGGTCAACTGGTCAACCTACAGGACAAGATTAAACCATCAGCTACAATAACCACAGAGGCAAAAATGACCGGGGGAACAAAAGAGAACTGGCCAAAAAGGCTCTCCTTGGTCCCCTCAGAGACCTTCAAGAAGGTCTTAAGTAAGAATGGGCTGCTCTGAGAACAATGAAATGGCCTTGAGGGAAGAAGAGGTCATTAGAAGGGCCAGACTGTAAAGTGAAGGCATTTTCTCAGAAAGCAGAATCACGTCCTACTTTAATGGGCAGCAAGCAGCGAATGGAGCCTTAAGAGCTGATGAAGGGAGCTCTGGTGGCCTAGTGGCAAGAAGCTGAACTGCAATCTCAGAGGTACATGGTTCCAATCCACCAGATGCTCTGCTGGAGAAGGAGGGGCAATCTCCTCCTGTACCAACTGGATCAGATTTGACGGTACACACACACAAAATAATAAAAAAAATAAATTAATAATAATAATAAATAATAGTTCATTTTTAAAAAGAGTTGACGAGCAGCCATCTAAGGTACAACTACTGGACTCTCCCTGTCTGGAGCAACACGTGTAAAGAAAGCCAAAGGTACAAAGAAACAATTACTCCAAAAACCCCAGTCTTCACCATCCTGAAACTCGAAGAACGAGGTGGTGTTTGGCTACCTACCACCACAGACCACTCAGAAGGGGAACACAACAGACGAGACCTCACAGCATGAGAGAAAAAGTAGGACGAAATGGAAAATAGTTAAAAGCCACAACGCTTACTGTTCTGACAGAAACTGGTAGCACTCCAGACATCATGACCTTTATACACCTTTCTAATCTGGACCTCAACTAACCAAACTCACTCCATTGTTCAACCTCCAGGCAAAGAGGCCTATGAGGTTAACACCACCCCCAGGGAGAAGGGCTGTGCTTAGAACAAGACAAGCTCAAAGAGCACTATCTGCTCATGTACTTATAACTTGTTAGTCAAATTTGTGTCTTCTAGGTTGCAACACCCCCATGATACATCTTCAAGGATATGTACATGTACAGCCAAGCACAATCAATAAGAGTGCATCTGAATTCCAAAATCAATCTCCATAATAGTCTATGTGTTTCCTACTGCCAAAGGGGCCCTTTAGAGTAGTGAGAGAAGATCTTCACCCTGAAACCCACAGTGTCCCTTTTCAGCAGGAAGTAGCTAAGAGAATACGCCGTGCCCTTTTCCTTATGACTCAGGGTGAAGTCTCTCTCAGGGAGGAGTGATAGGGAATGGCAAAGGATACACTGACAAAGAAGATTAATCAGAACTGGCTTTGACAAGCACTGTGGCATTTGGACAAGAACACCCTGGGAGGAGGGTAGAGAGAATAGTGCAACAATGAATGAGTGGAAGCCCAAAATCTCTGTAAATGTTTATGAAAATTAATAAAATATAATTATAGAAAAAAAAAGAGCACTATCTGCTCAGGGATAGGGCTCAGAAGGCAGGAAGGAGTGGAAAAGAAGGATGAACGGAGAGCAAACACAAGGAGGAAGTGGGAAGAATGCCGCTGTACTATGGGGATTGCAATTTTCTCTGTAAATGTTAATCCACATCACAATAAAAAGCTCTTTCCTTTTTTTTTTTAATTAGAAGCAAAGGGCAAAGAGAGAAAAATGATAAGATGATAAGGTATGAGGGCTAAAGAAGCAGCAACCTGGAGGCCCCAGTATGCAATTCTTGGAGAAAAAGAGGAAATAGAAGAACTAGAAAGAAATCCAAGAGGAACTTCAAAAGTTGGATGTGACCTCTAGATTGAGAGGTCCCACTGCGTGTCCATCCCAAAGCACATCATGGGATACCTCAGAATTGTGCTGATCTGAAAAGGTTCCAGACAAAAAAAGCAGGTCATCACAAAGAAACAACTCGGAGTGTGCATCTCAGCCGGTCCTGGTGCTAGAAGAGGGGAAAACCATCAACAGTCTAAGGGCAAGTGATTTTCAACCCAAAATAGTCTCCCCACCACCCCAACCAACCGACAAAGAGCCTTGATGATGTAACGAATGGTTCAATGCACAACTGATAACCCAAAGGTCAGGAGCTCAAACCCACCCCGTGAGAGGTTCCTCGGAAGAAAGGTCTGGCAATGTGCTCTCTAAAGCCTGCAGCCTACAAAACCTTATGGAGAGGTTCTACTCCGTCTCATGGGATTGCGATGGTCCTTAACAACAACCAAAGGGACAGGCAAGTTTAAGGGACTCCAAATCTTGCCTCTCACACATCAATTCTTAGGTATTTCTTTGCAAACAGATGGAAGGAAAAGGAAGAAGTAAATAAAGGAGGAAGAAGCTCTGGGTTTTAGGCAAGAGAGATCTAACCTGAGAAGGCAGAGAAAGGATGTCATTGGAGAACTGCCATTTGGGCAACCAAGAGCTGAGCCTGGCCAAGCTGCAGCAAGAGGTCTCGGGGAAGCTCGGGGAGGACGCCTGGTTAAAGGAAAGGTGTTGCGGGGGAGGGAGGGGAAGAGGTCATGATTCCAATGTCTATTAGTGGTTATGGGGCAGAAAGTGGGAGAGGGTGTTTCCATTCATGGTGACAGAAATTTTACTTTATCGGGGATGGTGGTCTAGCAAAATGAATGAAACTGATGCCACCAAACTGTGCATATGAGAAGCATTAAAGTGGCAAATATATCACGCTATCTACTTTAATAACAACAAAGACATGATAGAGATGAGTTCAAGGAGGCGAAAAAGGCCACTAGAAGCCCAAGAATCTAGGGAAACTGTGAGAAGGAAGGAGCCGGGACCCGGCAGCCCACAATTCAGTCAGCCCATGATTCACTCGTGCAGGGAGCAAAAGGTGCACTTACTCATGAATGAAAACACTGTTCGCTGATCTTCAAATGTTAGGGTCAACCTTTAGTGAAAGCTCCTAAAATGCTTATTAGGGGAACAAATAGAATTTAAATGTTATCAGCATTGACATTTTTTAAGTAAACTCATGGATGACTGAAGCCAGAGGCTGGGAAGGGAACTGAAAAGTAAGGGTACTTCCCATTGAAAGGTTTCAGATTGAAGCCAAGAACCACACTGAGGAAGAAACATTCCTCAGGGAGTAGCCCTGGGGGTTGGGCTAAGGGATTTATGAGGGGTCGTTGCAGTGGCTCACTGGGGCATAAAGTTTCTGGTCTTGGCAATTGGTTCTGGGAAACGACCTGACATAGGATTTCTGAGTTCTGGTTTCAGAAAAATGTCCTGACATAGGGCTTTCTAAGTTCTGGGTTTAGGGCATGTATTGACATAGGATTTTCTGAGTTCTGGTTTTGGAAAATATCCTGACACAGGATTTTTGAGTCGGGCTTCAACCTCCATTTTTATTTTTAATCTAACACCCATAACCTTGTCTAACCAAGTTCAGGGTCAAGAGATGCTGCCTCTATCTATGACGTTATTGTTAGAGGCCTTCAAGCTGACTCGGACTCATAATGACCATATGAACAACATACTAGCTCCCTGCCCTGCACCTGTGTCATTTTCACAAGTCAGTCCGTCATTCCATCTCATTAGGGGTCTTCCTCTCTTTCATCGATTTCCTAAACTGTGTCTGTCACTGTTATCATGTACTTAGTCGG